GGGATGAATTACTATATGGGGGATGAATTACTATGGGGGATGAGTTACTATGGGGGATGAATTACTATATGGGGGATGAATTACTATGGGGGATGAATTACTATATGGGGGATGAATTACTATAGGGGGGATGAATTACTATATGGGGGATGAATTACTATGGGGGATGAATTACTATATGGGGGATGAATTACTATATGGGGGATGAATTACTATGGGGGATGAATTACTATGGGGGATGAATTACTATATGGGGGATGAATTACTATGGGGGATGAATTACTATATGGGGGATGAATTACTATGGGGGATGAATTACTATATGGGGGATGAATTACTATGGGGGATGAATTACTATGGGGGATGAATTACTATTTGGGGGATGAATTACTATATGGGGGATGAATTACTATGGGGGATGAATTTCTATATTGGGGATTAATTACTATGCTTACTATGGGGGAATATTACTATACTTACTATGGATGACACATACACATCATTCATCTACTCTTGGTCCGGCCCCCGGGTCCAATATATGAACCCATTGCGGCCCTCAAGTCAAAAAGTTTGCCCACCCCTGTGTTAACCCCTTCCTGCCCAGTGCCATTAGTACAGTGTCAGTGCTTTTTATTAGCACTGATCAGGGGTGGACTGACCATTTGGAAACTGTAAGGGGAGCATTCTTTCCGCTGACCACCAGTGTGAGGAACTTTCATCCCAATGACCACAAATGGAGGGAATGTTCATACGAGTGACCACAGACCACAGTATGTAAGGATGATGGATATAGAAATTATTAACTGGGGATCCCTGAGACCCAGAAAGTTCCATCATGTTGAAAAGGTTGAGATAGCCCCATCTTTGACGATTGGTAACACTGGTTGAGAAGACCCCATCTATAAGCATCTACAGTCCATACACAGCACAAGGCCGGGGTCACACTACCAGACAGGGGCGGACTGATCATTTAGAAACTCGGGCACTGCCCGAGGGCCTGGGGTCAGTAGGGGGCCCCATGAGATGCCCCTGGTACCTTTTTCATAGACTTTTTTGAGTTTGGGCAAGGACACAGGGGCCCCATGATCCCCTATTGCCTGGGGGCCCATGAGTTGTCAGTCCGCCCCTGGCACCGATCACTGTATTGGTGTCACTGGGGATATCAGTGACACCAAGTCAGTTCCCCCCCAGTGTCAGAATGCCCGCTGCAGTCCCACTATAAGTCGCTGATCGTCGCCATTACTAGTAAAAATAGAAAAAAAAATCCCAGTATCTATACCGCCATTTGTAAATGCTATAACTTTCACGTAAACCAATACATTTACACAAATTGGGATTTTTTTTTTAGCAAAGACATGGAGCAGAATACATTTTGGCCTAAATTTATGATGAAATAGATTTTTTACTGGATATGTTTTATAGCAAAAAGTCCAAAATATCGTTTTTTTCCTCAAAATGGTCAGTCTTTTTTTTTATAGCGCAAAAAATAAAAAATACACAGGTGATCAAATACCACCAAAATAAAGCTCCACTTGTGGGGAAAAAAAGGACATAAATTTCATTTGGGTACAACGTTGCATGACCGCGCAATTGTCAGTTAAAGTAACGCAAAAAATGGCCTGGTCGGGGGGGGGGGGGGGAGGAAATCCTCAGGAGGGGGAGGGGTGAATTGACAATTACCACCATTTTATTCTCCAAGGCCCCTGCTTTCAAAAGATAGATGTTCCGGGAACTTAACCACCTCCCGTCCGGCCGTTGTATATAAACGGCCGGACGGTGGCAGTGCATAAACGGCCTCCCCGCACCCTGCTTGTGCGCGCTCCCTGGGAGCGTGCAGCACCGCGATCCGGTGCCCGCTGTGTCCTCCGGACATAGTGAAACACCGATCGTCGGACGGGACCTCTGTACGAGGTCCCGATCATGTGAGCACTGATTGGCCAATCAGTGATCACATGCAAAGTAGTAAGCAAGATGTCACTTGTGACATCATTGCTTACTACATGTGAAATCTGTGAATGATCACAGAGGTCACATGGTACAAGGCTATTCACAACAGGCTTGTATCATGTGACAAGCTGTGACCAATCACAGCTCAGTCAGTACTTCTCAATGACTGCAAGAATGCACACAGAGAGAAAGAGAAATGATTGCTTTTACATCCTATATGGGTGTAAAAGCAATGTGTAAAAAAAAAAAAAAAAAATTCTTCATCACCCCCCACACGTAGTACAGTGTCACCATGGTGATACTGTACTGCTAGGGTGACAGTATGTAAAAAAAATAAATAAATAAAAAATAATAATATAAAAATGTAAAAAAAAAATGTTTAAAAATTATAATTTTTGTTATAAACTAATTTGGATTTTTTTTTTATTTTACTAAAAAGATAACGGAATAAATTTTGGCAAAGATTTATGATGAAATATTATTTATTTGCAAAATTTTATAAAAAAAAACACTTTTTTTCAAAATTTTTGGACTTTTTCATTTACATAGCAAAAAAAAAATAAAAATCCCAGCGGTGAATAAATACCACCAAAATAAAGCCTTATCTGTTTAAAAAAAATGGTAAAAAATTCATATGGGTACAGCGTTGCATGACCGCGCAATTGTCATTCAAAGTGTGATAGCGCTGAAAGCTGAAAATTGCCCTGGTCAGGAAGGGGGTGAAAGTGTCCGGTCTTGAAGTGGTTAACTAACCTACAGGCCCAAAATGGGCATTTTAACGTCTGTGAAAAATACTCTGGCTGTGAAAATGTTAAGCTAAGCTAGATGGGATCACTCTGCTGGGGTCACATTATAGCTCCCCCTAGCTGCAGCCTGGTAATAACATTGCTAGGAGGTCTCTTCATTTAGCTGCTACAGACTTCCCATCCTTACATAAATGTCTCCTAACAGATAGGGGGTCTATCCATAAAAAAAAAACATTTGCATAGCCATACACCTTCCTTGTGTGTGAATGAATGAGGATTAAAAACAAAAAAAAAACAAATGTTATTAGGCTACTGGCTGTGCTGGTTGAATGTTTTCCATTGATTTAAAAGGGAAAATGTTGCATTTGGCCACTAGATGGTGTACATTTCTATGATTCTTAGCGTCACCTAGTGCCCAAGTGCAGTATTTTTCATTTTAAATTAATGGTTGGTTTAATTCATTTATATTCTTTGATATCTACTATGCTCACAAGGTATGAGTGCAGTATTTCAGGGATTTTTATGAAACCATGTGAAGGAAACTAGGGGGGGGGTCTCTGTATAAAAAACAAATTGTTGGGCGGGTGTGACAAGCATTCGCCAATCTGACAGACAAGCTCTGCACTCTGTACAAAGTGCATCCCTAAACCCTGCACTCTGTACATAGCAGACTCCTGAACTCTACTCTCTGTACATAGCAGACTCCTGAACTCTACTCTCTGTACACAATGTACTCCTCAACTCTGAATTCTGAGTGTAGCACACTCCTGAACCCTGCACTCTGTACACAGCACACTCCTGAACTCTGCACTCTGTACACAATGTACTCCTCAACTCTGAATTCTGTGTGTAGCACACTCCTGAACCCTGCACTCTGTACACAATGTAATCCTCAACTCTGAATTCTGAGTGTAGCACACTCCTGAACCCTGCACGTAGCATACTCCCGAACTCTGCACTCTGTACACAATGTAATCCTCAACTCTGAATTCTGTGTGTAGCACACTCCTGAACCCTGCACTCTGTACATAGCATAGTCCTGAACTCTGCAGTCTGTACACAATGTACTCCTCGACTCTGAATTCTGTGTGTAGCACACTCCTGAACCCTGCACTCTGTACGTAACATACTCCTGAACTCTTCACTGTAGATAGCGTACCCCTAAACCCTGCATTCTGTACACAGCGTACTCCTGAACTCTGCACACAATGTACTCCTCAACTCTGAATTCTGTGTTTAGCACACTCCTGAACCCTGCACTCTGTACATAGCATACTCCTGAACTCTGCACTCTGTACATAGCATACTCCTGAACTCTACTCTCTGTACATAGCATACTCCTGAACTCTGTACACAATGTATTTATCAACTCTGAATTCTGTGTGTAGCACACTCCTGAACCCTGCACTCTGTACGTAGCATACTCCTGAACTCTTCACTGTAGATAGCGTACCCCTAAACCCTGCATTCTGTACACAGTGTACTCCTGAACTTTGCACTCTGTACATAGCTCACCCCTAAACCTTGCACTCTGTATGCAGCGTACTCCTGCACCCTGCACTCTGTACGCAGCGTACTCCTGAACCCTGCACTCTGTACGCAGCGTACTCCTGAACCCTGCACGCAGCATACCCCTAAGCCCTGCAGTCTGTATGCAGCATATTCCCAAACTCTGCACTCTGTACACAATGTACTCAACTCTGAATTCTGTGTGTAGCATACTCCTGAACCCTGCACTCTGTATGTAGCATATTCCTGAACTCTTCACTATAGATAGCGTACCCCTAACCCCTGCATTCTGTACACAGCGTACTCCTGAACTTTGCACTCTGTACATAGCTCCCCCCTAAACTTTGCACTCTGTATGCAGCATACTCCTGAACCCTGCACTCTGTATGCAGCGTACTCCTGCACCCTGCACTCTGTATGCAGCGTACTCCTGCACCCTGCACTCTGTATGCAGCATATTCCTAAACTCTGCTCTGTACATGTACACCCTTAAAGTACACCCTTAAACCCTGCACTCTGTACACAGCGTACTCCTGAACCCTGCACCCCGTGCATAGCACACTCTGCACTCCTGAACTCTGCATACAGATACGGCTGGCCCTTTTGAAGTCAACCATAATTCTTCCATGATGAAGATCAGCCATGGAGTATATCTGAGGTGTATATCAGGGTGTGCTTCTTCCCCACATGAGAGCTGGGATGTCCAGCAACATTCATCTAGAAGACATTTCCCGCACTCAAGGCACTAATACACCTCCAGGGTTGCGTGGGACCCCTGATGTACAGGAAGACAGGACTTCAGTGAGGAACATTTCCCTCACTCAGGACAGGAAAGTGACTTCTCCCCTTGTGCAATCTCTGATGTGTGTAAAGATGGGACTTCTGTGAAAAACATTTCCCGCACTCAGGACAGGAATATGGCTTTTCCCCCGTGTGAGACCTCTTATGTCTATAAAGATGAGAGTTCTGTGAAAAACATTTCCCGCACTCTGGACAGGAATATGGCTTTTCACCTGTGTGAGATCTCTGGTGTGTGACAAGAAGTGATTTTTGAATAAAACATTTCCCACACTCAGAACAGGAATATGGCTTTTCCCCCGTGTGAGACATCTGATGCGTGACAAGTTCTGATTTTTGTACAAAACATTTCCCGCACTCAGGGCAGGAATATGGCTTCTCGCCCTGCGTGCCATCTCTGATGTCTGTAATGGGAGGACTTGTCTGAAAAACATTTCCCACACTCAGAACAGGAATACGGTTTTTTCCCCTGTGTGAATCCTTTGATGTGTGACAAGGTTTGATTTTTGTACAAAACATTTCCCACACTCAGAACAGAAATACGGCTTCTCCCCCGTGTGCAGTCTCTGATGATTATAAAGATGGGACATCTCTGAAAAACATTTCCCACACTCAGGACAGAAATAAGGCTTTTCCCCTGTATGAGACATCTGATGTTTGACAAGTTCTGATCTTTTTAAAAAGCATTTTCCACACTCAGGACAGGAATATGGCTTTTCACCCGTGTGCAATCTCTGATGTTTGGAAAGATATGACTTGTCTGAAAAACATTTCCCGCACTCAGGACAGGAATATGGCTTCTCTCCTGTGTGAGACCTCTGATGTGTGACAAGTTGTGACTTTTGTACAAAACATTTTCCACACTCAAGACAGGAATACGGCTTTTCACCTGTGTGAGATCTCTGATGTCTGGAAAGATGTAATTTATCTGAAAAACATTTCCCGCACTCAGGGCAGAAATACGGTTTTTCCCCCGTGTGAGACCTCTGATGTGTGACAAGTTGTGATTTATGTAAAAAACATTTCCTGCACTCAGGACAGGAATACGGCTTTTCCCCCGTGTGAGATTTCCGGTGTCTGTAAAGACTGGACTGATCTGAATAACATTTCCCGCACTCAGGACAGGAATACGGTTTCTCTCCCGTGTGAGTTCTTTTATGCACATTCAGATTGCATTTAAAATTGAAACTTTTCCCGCACTCAGTGCAGGAGAAGCTCTTCCCTGTTGGAAGGCCGGCCCGGTCCCGCACAGTCTGAGGTTCCTCAGGATACGAGGGGAATCTGATGGTCCATCTACACTGGGTGGTGCCGGATGGACATTGGAGGGAGCCGGGTTTTCTCCTGGACTATACTGTGTGATGTCCTCATCTTCTACTTTCCAGTCTGGAGACAAAGTGAGACAATCCTCGGAGGTTTTCCTCATCTCCCGGCCATGGACTAAAATACAAAGACAAAGAGGATTACTAGACAGCAGCTGATTGGTTCCCCCAAACCAGGACTCCGCCCACATCAGGCAAGCTTGGTCTCTGAGGAGCTTACAATTCCACCCTCAAGGGAACTAGGAAATGGCTCCTCTGATCTCCTATCAGGTCATTTCTTTATTCATGGACCTTAGTCAGAGAGTGAGGAAACAACCAGAGCTGTCTTTTATAGGAGGGACAGTGATGAGGGGATTATAGGACGAGGGTCCCCACCCCCTCTATCACTCATCGCCATCTTCCCAACACAAGAAGTACTGCACTTCCTTATTTACTCCATGATTTAGTCATGAAGAACAGCGGGGCTGAGCCCCACCAGAGGTCAGAGAGTGAGGATGGGGGGAGAACAACCAAGATGAAGACTGGACTGATCCTGAAGACCACCATCATTGGGGTATTGACTCCTCCCTCATTATCACTTTCTGTTTAAGGGTCCAAAAGTTGGAGGATGTTATCACATTATTATCAACATGTAAAAGTCTGTGCTCCAATCACATCATCCGATATAAAATGTCCAGCTGCCAGAAAATGGGAATAACCAAAATAGAATACCTACTATGTTTATAGCGTGACGAGTTCAGGCCTATGTAACGTACAATATGTTGTATGGGGAACAACAAATCAAAATATATTAGTATCAGAATGATGTAATGTAAAATAGTATATAGTGCAGGGGTCAGGAGTATGTAATGTACAACATAGAGTATATAGTGCAGGGGTCAGGAGTATGTAAATGTACAACATAGAGTATATAGTGCAGGGGTCAGGAGTATGTAATGTACAACATAGAGTATATAGTGCAGGGGTCAGGAGTATGTAATGTACAACATAGAGTATATAGTGCAGGGGTCAGGAGTATGTAATGTACAACATAACAGTATATAGTGCAGGGGTCAGGAGTATGTAATGTACAACAGAGTATATAGTGCAGGGGTCAGGAGTATGTAATGTACAACATAGAGTATATAGTGCAGGGGTCAGGAGTATGTAATGTACAAAGAGTATATAGTGCAGGGGTCAGGAGTATGTAATGTACAACATAGAGTATATAGAGTGAAGGAGAATACAATGTACAACAGAGTATATAGTGCAGGGGTCAGGTGTAATGTACAACATAAGAGTATATAGTGCAGGGGTCAGGAGTATGTAATGTACAGCATAGAGTATATAGTGCAGGGTCAGGAGTATGCAATGTACAACACAGAGTATATAGTGCAGGAGTATGTAATGTGCAACATAGCGTATATAGTGCAGGGGTCAGGAGTATGTAATGTACAAACATAGAGTATATAGTGCAGGGTGTCAGGAGTATGTAATGTACAACATAGAGTATATGGTGCAGGGGTCAGGTGTATGTAATGTACAAAAGAGTATATAGTGCGCGAGGGGTCAGGATTATGTAATGTACAACATAAGAGTATATAGTGCAGGAGTATGTAATGTACAACATAAGAGTATACAGCACACAACATATACAGCACAGGAGTAGTAATGTACAACATAGGAGTATACAGTGCAGGAGTCAGGAGTATGTATTGTACAACATGGAGTATATAGTGCAGGAGTATGTAATGTACAACATGGAGTATATAGTGCAGGAGTATGTAATGTACAACATAGTATATAGCACAGGGAGTATGTAAATGTACAACATAGAGTATATAGCGCAGGGGAAGTATGTAATGTAATCAACATAGGAGAGTATATAGCGCAGGAGTATGTAATGTACAACATAGAGTATATAGCGCAGGAGTATGTAATGTACAACATTATATATACAGTGCAGGGAGTTCAGGAGTAATAATGTACAACAGAGTATATAGTGCAGGAGTATGTAATGTACAACATGGAGTATATAGTGCAGGAGTATGTAATATACAACATAAGAGTATATTAGTGCAGGGGTCAGGAGTATGTAATGTACAACATAGAGTATATAGTGCAGGGGTCAGGAGTATGTAATGTACAACAGAGTATATAGTGCAGGAGTATGTAATGTACAACAGGACAGTATATAGTGCAGGAGTATGTAATATACAACATAAGAGTATATAGTGCAGGGGTCAGGAGTATGTAATGTACAACAGAGTATATAGTGCAGGGTCAGGAGTATGTAATGTACAACATAGAGTATATAGTGCAGGGGTCAGGAGTATGTAATGTACAACATAGAGTATATAGTGCAGGGGTCAGGAGTATGTAATGTTACAACATAGAGTATATAGTGCAGGGTCAGGAGTATGTAATGTACAACATAGAGTATATAGTGCAGGGGTCAGGAGTATGTAATGTACAACATATATATAGTGCAGGAGTAGAGTGTACAGTGTACAACATAGAGTATATAAAAAGCAGGGGTCAGGAGTATGGAATGTACAACATAGAGTATATAGTGCAGGGGTCAGGAGTATGTAATGTACAATATAACTTTCCACAGTGTAAGAGTCGGGACTCATAATATTGGTATTCAGTAATCGGTGGAAGTTTAAATGTTTCCTGTAGACAAGTTGCAGAGATCCCACCCCGCTGCCTCCCATCTCCTGAGACTGCACTCAGTGACTTGGGTCTGAGACTATACAGACATATCCCTCCACCCGGCACAGCCAGCAGACAACAGAGCAAGCAACTCTGGGAGATTTGTTCTGTCAGAGATCCTGCTAGACCTGGGTATGGGACAGAAGACCCAAGGCACAGCTCAGGAAGGAGACCAGAGTATTACTGGCTGATATACAGAAACATAGAAAAATGAGGGCATAAAAAACAGACTGGTGTCCATTGTGTCTGCCATTTTTTAATACAAATTTTTTGTTTCTTGACTTTTTAGTCTGAGTATAGATGTGTGTGTAGCGCCCCCCCCCCCCTAGGTAGGTTACTAGGATGCCCATAGTCTAGATGAGTATAGTGTGGTCTCCTGTCTAACAGGAAACTGACAGGCAAAACATAGCAGCTTCTCTGCTCAACAGAAAAGCTTTGAATGGTGAGGATATCCCGTGTGGCTCACAGTGCTGATGTGATTGGCCTCTCTGTACCAAGGCGACCTTGGAAGGTTCTGGGTGAACCCATGCAGATCAGCAGCATGCATATGAATACCATCTGAGCCAATTACAGGGAGTGGTACCCCTTTGCATGCTGGGAGTTGGTATTTATGTTTGGTGAGCACATGGGATCTGGGTTCTTCTTCCTCTTTCTTAGGAGAAGGGAGTTCCAGCCAGGTAGGTAGCTGCCTCTCCTGGCTCATGCTGCCAAGAGGCCTTGGGTGGGGCAGAATGCTGAAGCCCAGGGTGCTTCTGAGAGCTGACTGAGGGGGATGTCTACAGATCCTGTCTGAGATCACGGAGGAAGGAGATCTGCAGCAAGGCCTTGTGAGTACAGTCTGTTCTAAAGGGATGCTGGGACTTGTGCTGCTTACCCCTCTTAGGACCTACATAGTCAGCTGCTGGGTGTAAGCTAGAGGGGACACCGGCTGGTGTCCAGAAGAACAACTGTCCACTAAGTTCTGTATGTCTACAGAGGGACTTTGCTCCATTCTTTGTACAGTCTGCTACACAGTTCTACTTAGGAAAGCTGGAAAGCCACACTGGAAAACAATTAAAGGATGACTTGTTAATCAGAGTGTAGCATCAAGTCAGTGAAACTCCTGGGATATTGATCTGGTCAGGTAAGTAGCAGAGGGGGTTGTTCATCAGTTTCAGCTGCTTTGGTGTTCATGAAATTAACAACAGGTGCACTAGAAGAAATGGGCAACAATGAGACAACCCCCAAAATAGGAACAGTTTTACAGGCGGAGGCCGCTGACTTTTTTTTCCCTACTCATCTTTTCTGACTGTTTTTCACTAGTTATGCATTTGGCTAGGGTCAGTGTCATACTACTGGTAGTATGAGGCCATACCTGGACCCTACAGAGGTTGTACAGGCAGTCCAACTCCTCCAGGATGGCACATCAATACGTACCATTGCCAGAAGGTTTGCTGTGTCTCCCAGCACAGTCTCAAGAGCATGGAGGAGATTCCAGGAGACAGGCAGTTACTCTAGGAGAGCTGGACAGGGCCGTAGAAGGTCCTTAACCCATCAGCAGGACCGGTATCTGCTCCTTTGTGCAAGGAGGAACAGGATGAGCACTGCCAGAGTCCTACAAAATGACCTCCAGCGGGCCACTGGTGTGAATGTCTCTGACCAAACAATCAGAAACAGACTTCATGAGGGTGGCCTGAGGGCCCGATGTCCTCTAGTGGGCCCTGTGCTCACTGCCCGGCACCATAGAGCTGGATTGGCATTTGCCATTGAACACCAGAATTGGCAGGTCCACCACTGGCGCCCTGTGCTTTTCACAGATGAGAGCAGGTTCCCCCTGAGCACATGTGACAGACATGAAAGGGTCTGGAGAAGCCGTGGAGAACGTTGTGCTGCCTGTAACATCGTTCAGCATGACTGTTTTGGTGGTGGGTCAGTGATGGTCTGGGGAGGAATATCCATGGAGGGACACACAGACCTCTACAGCCTAGACAATGGCACCCTGACTGCCATTAGGTATGGGGATGAAATCCTTGGACCCATTGTCAGACCCTACGCTGGTGCAGTGGGTCCTGGGTTCCTCCTTGTGTACGACAATGCCCCCGGCCTCATGTGGTGAGAGTATGCAGGCAGTTACTGGAGGATGAAGGAA